TGATGAAAATGTTCATGTACTTGTGGCAGTGAATTCTTTTTTATTTTGCATTCGTCTTTACCACAATACTGGGCAGAGTGTAGATCAGGATGAAGCTGGTGTTTTGATGACTGGGCATCAGACCCAGAGTGAGAATAAACACTCCAGCGATGGCTTGGGCTGCCTGACAGAAAAAGAGAGACATCATAAAGAAAGAATACCCTGCTTTACAGTGCCCTGCATTACAGTGCTGCGTGTTATTCACAAAGCTTTGTTGAAATGATTCAACTTACTCCAAGAGGTTTAGGTTTTCCTCTGGTGGCAAACACCTTGTAGGAGTCTTTGTACACGCAATGAAACTTCTGGGGCATCAACTGACCGTCGCTGCTGTCATTCAGACTCCCGATGGGAATGGTGATGATCATGGTATCATCACACACAAAAGTCTTCTTCATTCTCCTGTGGAAAAGATCAAATGTTTATCAGATTGTATCACTGTGGCAATCTATTGCTCACATTTTCACAAACAGCTACATACCTTTTTTTGTAGTCCTTTATTTTGATTCAGAACTGAAATTCTCGCTTCATCAAAAGAGTTTGACAAGGAAATGACCTGGCACACCAATTGTCTTTGTCACTCACTCTCTTTCTCTCTGCCCTTGCTCTCTCTCTCTCGCGCGCTCTCTCTCTCTCTCTCACACACACACACACACGCACATACACAAAGACACACATATAAACCCACAAAACACTTACATGTAGCCTTTAAAATGTCTCTAAGAGTTTAAACTGATATGTAAATGTATCAAAACTTACTAAAGGGTGTAAAGAGAAGGGTTTTTGGTGACCAAGACTTTTTAACAAATTCTCTAGAAATTCTTCTATAAGCCATTTGGGGGCAGACGGAGGAAGTTAAGGTGTGAAGTGACCTCCTCTTCAGAGAATTTACAGGGAAGTGATATTTATGTCTAAACAGTGAGGCGCTTGTTTGAGACAGAGGGTTTGAATTTGATGCTCTTCAAGCCAAACCTGGTAAGAATTCCAATTAAACATCTTAATGAATGGATGGATTAACCCTGGGAACAAACTGTTTGATGTGCAGATTTGATGTACAGAATTTACATTTGGAAGCACGTCAGAATCTGCCTTGTGCTTGTGAATGAACTCAATAGCAACAGAAGTTTTATCGTGTAAATGTTTCATGCAAGAAAAATGTTGAAATATTGACAGTATGATTTAAGAATGAAGTTAAATGAAATATCTTTACTGTCAGGTTATTTGGTGTTGATTGCTGCATCATGTTGTGCTTATTTGAAGTGACCAAAAAAAGTTGATATGTGACAACAAAATAAATATGTTAGTCTTTAATATGGAAAGGGTGAAATATAATTGATGATAATGTGTTTTTCCCCTCCCTACAAAATCTAACCTGTAGCTCACTTAGTCCTGGAAATTATGATAATTCTTGACCCTAATTCAGTAGTGATGTATTTAAGTATTGTGGACATTTTCAAAGTTTCACTCGTGCTGATGATGGATAAGATCATACAGTATGACAGAATATATCTCCAAAATCTTCTATGTACTGTTATTCATCTGCAGCCTCAAATTATGAAGTGGAATGATCACCTCAGGCTGTCTTAAATCTTACTTATCACCATGTATCACAGGACTGTTCAGTGGCATTATATGTTCCCACTTACTCTGTAAATTAAACACAACGGTAGTATTTGTCCCATGTTAAAATAAAGGAAAAGAGCATTCACAGTTTCAAACCCTTTATCCTTCTAGGTTAGAAAGCACCATGGCCTGTGCAAGCTTCGACATGGACATCCAAGGAGCAGAAGAGGAGCTGCTCAGAGCTGGGAGGAGAGAGCCGCCGATATTACAATATTACCAGGCTACAGCTGTAGAGCCAGACGTCAAAGGGCCGCTGCATGACCTGCTGCAGAAACAACCGGCTGTGCTCGGGGTAAGATCAGTAAATCAGACCAATCAAACTTTATTTATATAGCACCTTTCAGACTAATTAAACAGTAGTTCAGTTCAAAGTGCTTTACAAGAGGGACTAAATGTACAAGATAATCTTAAGCAGACAATTAGGAAAGGTCACACTCAGATATTTTAGCTTTTGGTGAGATGGTGACACAGCAAAGATTCACCTTCATGCGCTTGTTCTCTTACTCCTTTAATTTAAATAAGATCATAATATTAAATACATTTAAATTAGGATTTATGAGCCAAAGTATCATCTTTTTCCTTTAATATAATCTCAGAAAAAAAATACTAGTTTACAGAGCTACAATTAAAATATAAATACATGCTGCTTTAAAAAAAAAAAAGTGTCTTGTAAGAATGTGGAAAACTGTGAATCTGATTCCACTGTATAAATGATATCATTATGCTTTAATGTTTGAAAGTCATACATGTTTTTTTTAAATCATCTTAAATTTTCTTATCCAAGAACAAACTTGACAAAGGTTCAGAGGGACCGAAGAGTAAATTGGTGATACTTAGCAAGAGTAGTGTGTGTGATTTTTTTTCTTTTCAAGTAATAGTTTGCCGCCCTACGCACCCTGTTTATGAGATAGTTGGATGTGTGAACACCTCCATTAAAAAAAGCATACAAGAACAAAAACCAAACAGCCTCAATCAAAGCACAACGTCTGAAAATATCTACTTTGGGCCAGATGTCACAAACAGATTCATTTTGTGCAGCAAAGACAGATGTCCAAAATAATTTGTACCCATTCAGCAGCAACAGGAAATGGTTGGTGGTGGTGGTGGTGGGGGGGGGGGGGGTTGTGGTATTCTACTTCATCAAGCTGAAGCTTCATGCAATTCTGTGAATATGTGCACAATATACTAAAAGGTGAAAACATCATCAGTGTCTTATATTTTCACACAGGGTTTGTTTCATTGTTCTGAGAGTCCCTTTGCTTTTGTATGAAATAAAAATCCATCCGAACATTTGATGTTCAATAGAAATTCACCGATCCATTTTTTTTCTGTTCCGTTCGATTCTGATACATTTGTACCGGTAGCGATACTGATTCTGATGTTTCTTGTTTTCATCGCAAATATTTTTTTTGTCCTTTTAATTTTGAACTCTTAAAGTAAACTCATATTTTACTACTATCAATATGCAAGTCTTAACTTCTAAATATCTAAATGCACACAGCGCATCAGTCACAGCAAAATGGAAGTCATCACCATTTTATTTTTTGCTCATTTGATTTTGACCATCCCTGTTTCCCCCCCCCCCAAGTACGTCTTCACAGCCTCTGTGTTGTTAGCATGCAAGACATAATGTTACATAAAAAATGTATACAGTGAATGAATTTGATTATTTTCTGACGATTAAAACAGAAATAAGAAAGGAAAGATTGTACACCATGAATCAGAAGTTTAAATTAGAGATATTTCTTTTAACTCTTCTGCTTTGACATGCGAGTGTTTTTGTGTGTGTGTGTGTCTCTGTCAGTCTATGCAGATGGTGACTGGTCTCCTCAGTCTTGGAATGGGATTTGTTTTCGCTACAACCCAGACAATGGATCAGTCGCTTTTCACCTTGTTCAGAGTTTCCCATCTCACTGGAATCTTCGTAAGTCATCAATCACTTTATTTTTTTATTTTTCAAATATTTTTTGGGGGCTTTTTGTGCCTTTAATGGAGAAATAGGACAGTGGATAGAGTTGGAAACCAGGGAGAGAGAGTGGGGAATAACATGCAGGAAAGGAGCCACAGGCTGGATTTGAACCTGGGCCGCCCACTTGGAAGACTATAGCCTCCATACAAGTGGCGCACTAACCACTGCACCACCAGTCATCAATCACTTTCAAGTCAAACTGGAAATTAAGCAGATCAAACTCTTGCACATAAAGCTTTAAAAGACGAGTTCAAACACATGAGAATGAAGACAACTTGTCTTCCATACGGTGTGTGAAGGCCTCTTTTAAGTCTTCAATCACCTCTAAGCTGCGTTGTGTTTTTCCTCCACAGTTCCTCATTGCTGGACTCATTACCAACCTGTTGTTCAAATATCCAGAACTAGTACATGTTAGTACAACTCAACGCAGTCCAAACATACAACATAATACAGCTGCTGAAGGAGATTATTATCTGAATGAATTAAATGTTCATGAACCTTCATGTTCCAGGCATCCCTCAGGGTGAACTGTGGCTGCATTATCGTAGCTTTCATTGCAGCCTGTCTGATCAGCGTTGACCTGGCTAAGTGGAATTCAGAACATGCACAGCACCTTATGGTAAGACTGAAGATAACCAAGTATTTTTAAGTGTTTATTTAGCACACAAGAAATCCATATAGCTATTTACCAACAACCAACTAACGTACACTCGATGGTCTTTATCTTTTTTGACAGATGGAGGTGTTGGAGCTGTGTGTGCTTGGGCTTGAGGTTTTCCTCTCTGCTGTCCTCTGCTTCTGGTTCTTAAAAGAGAAACGCTCTTAAAATTGAAAATAATTCAACTGTTGAGATGATTTGGAAGAGATCTGAGAGTTTAACACTTGGAATAAAATGTTCTTCTCCTCTAGTGAAGGACAAACAGTAGAGGACCCAGGAGGCTGTATGTCAGTCCTTTAAATAAAGTAAGCAACTGTATTGAGTAATTTCTGTGCTATTTTGTATAGCCAGTGTGGCTTTCCGCTTCATCTCGATTGCCTATATTGAAGTCGAAACCCCTGCTGCACAGCCTGTGCTGTGGTCTTGGCCCAATGTGAGTGAGAATACAGGGCTTGTGGTAAACGAATGTCAGCTTCTCACAAAAAAAACACTTGCTCACTGTTTCAAGAGGCAGGGGTCTGAGTGAGTGTGTGAGCGTGTGTGTGTGTGTGGTTTGACAGTCGTGCCTAGTTATCAGTGGAAATATCTGCAACTTCTTTGACAGTTTCAGCTGGTTTCTCATGCAGGAAGTTGTACTTAAAGCTTTTTTTTTTTTAAATGAATGTGCCTTTTGTTCAAATACTTTTACCTGTGAAAAACAAATGAACACGAGAACATGTTTGAACATTTTTTTAATCACCTGTACAAATTTGTCATAATAAAGGGCTGGCAAAAAACCCCCACAAATGACAGTACAACAAGTCTGGATTCACCTGCCTGCTATTGTTTTTTGTTTGTTTCTTTCATAAAATACACAATAAAAAACTCATCTACAATATAAACACTGATTCATACCTACAACAGTTCATCGAAACAAATGTACAGACCAATGACGTACCATCATGGCAGTGTTTTTTAAATGTTTTTATATGTGTCAACATTTACAGAAACATAATGAAATGTCACATCTGTTGTGCTTCATCCATTAAAGTCTTAGCGCTCCTCGGACCCTGAACTTCCTTTATTTCCATCCCCGTAAACAAGCTGCTGTGACATGACGTCGCATACAACTTGTGGTCTTCACAGCTATCAAGACAGAAGAAAAAAAACAAAAAGAGGAATTAAAACAACAGTCCTTTAAACACATTACGCTAAACAAGTATTTCTAGAGGTCTTGTTGAACAAATAAAAAAGGCGCGTGGGCCCATTACCAGGAACTTACACAATTATTACAAGTTTGGAAATAAATAAATAATTTGATACTTTCTACCTTCATATTTAAAATGTCAAAGTAGCTAATAAATCTTTTTACTCTATTTGATAGAAAACTATTCAACAAGTATTTTTATATCCAGTTATTATCGGTCCAAGTTGTTCAAAGTCGACCAGTTTACATGATATGGATAGTTGGTGAATAATAATTGTAATTGTTTTATTGCCATTTTATGCTTCAAGACAGGACAAAGGTATTTTAAGTTTTTTACTTATTTATTAAATGCATTGAAAATGACTTATTGTAACTGATTGATTGATCTTTATTGTCAGAGAAAGTCTAAAATGTAAAGACAAGCTACAATGATCCAAACATTTGCTTTGATACGGTGTTCAGCTCCATATTAAATTTGAGAGGGCTTCAGTCTGACCTTGTTAAGACTTGACCATGTATCTCTGGTTTGATTGAGTATTTTAAATTCGTGGTTAGGGTCAAAGACAATCCTGCTGGCCAGCCTTAACATGTTTTTACAGAAGGTTGATTCACAGAGTCTCTGGAACATTTGGCCAACAATCTTTGAACAGATGTTTCATTGGTGGAGCAGTTTAGACTTTAAAGTAGTGGACAGACACATGTACCATGTGGTGTTACAGTACTGTAGGACACTGAGAATCACAGAGGTAAAAAACAAAACAAGATTTTGTTTACTCGCCCGAAAAGATCTCAGCCGGCGGAGGAAATGGATTCTTTGTTTTGTCTTCTTGAAGAGACATTCAATGTGATAACTACGGAAGAGGATTTTCCATATTTAATGCTGCTATTTGTAACCTCACGCTGCCACCTATTTTTGTTCAGCAACTTTGAACCACAAATGCATTCCAAAAAACCCCCAAAACAAAACTTGTAACAGAGCATGCTTGCATTCAGACATATGTATATAAAAGTCTTAAAAACATGTATTTTATAACACACATTTCACCCTCATCACAAACGGATGCACAGTGGTAAACTAGAGGCTGAGCAAACTAAGAGGAAGACATGACACAGACCCAATCCATGTGACGAAAGAGCCCTCGAACCCCTGAGAAGGACACACCGCCATGCAGAACACCACACAGCCACCGAAAGCACATGTTCACACAGATTAGTAGTCAGGCCACAGTTTTGTCACAGTTGTTAAGTAGACTGAGAAAGGGAACAACAGAGATGTCCGCTCTGGTGACAGCAGTTACTTACTGAGCTAAAAGGCCTCAGCTCTGAGTCAGACCACAGTAGAGAGGCCTACTGCTATAAGAGAGGTCTTGCTCTGGTAAAAAAAACAGGACAGCAAAAAGTGGGTGAGTGAAACTGAAGCTTCAAATAAATTGTAGCACTGATGGCAAATCCCCTAAATCGGAATATCTGCTCGTCTAAACAATAACCTGCCTCATCCATTAGTTCCCAGCCTGGGGTCAAAAGATCTCGGCGGGGGTGGGGTGTGGGGCTGCTCTGAGGTTGTTAACATTAGATTTGACCTTTATTAACTAAATTAACACACTTACTGGATAGTTTATACAAATATCTTGAGGTAACATTCAAGTGTGTGTAGGCACATTCTGTCGGGATGTTATCAATAAAAACAATTAAAATTCATCTTCGTTTTTGACAGCACTGTATCACCTTTCTTTTCGTCCGAGGGGGTCTCCGCTTTTTTTTAGATACAAGTATGGAGGGCTCCAGGGAAAAGAAAGGTAGGGAACTACAGGTTTAATCGACTTCATCAAGGAAGAAAGCACTGCAGTGTTATGTTTTTTTTTGCCGATGACAGTCTCCTCTACATGAAGAACATGAAAAACAGTTTCATTTTTCTTTCAGATGTGTAAATGTGGATGGAACATCAAACATGTTCAGTACTACTGCAGCAGATCTGACTCATCAAGAGCTTTGAAATGTAAACCTCTTCAGAGAGACTTGAATCATGCACCTCTCTATATGCCTAGATATGACAGCAGGTCATAGGTTGTAATCAGGCTCCAAAAGCATGTAAAACAGTTTTGGGGCTTGAGATCTCTTCATTATGGTGCTATAATATTCATTTTACTATGTTTTATTAATAGTAATAGTCTTATGTATGAAGGAAAATGTCAAAGTTAGATTTAGTAAGCAGGAGGCTTCCACAATGATAGGATGATATGCAGCATGTTCATTTAATAACAATTAGTAAACAGTGTGTCTTCTTCACAGCTTTAACTTCCACATGTTACTGATTGCTTCCTGAGGAAGTTAAATGTGCAGACTAAAATAACAAATACTGATAATGAAGAATAAAACCGATACCCAGACATTATCAGTTATACTGTGAACCGGTCAGATCAAAGAAAATGTCTGTTGTTTTTTGATGAGGGCAGGGTTTAAGGACAATTAGAAGATTGAAGGAAATAATAATGGATTATTTTAAAACTATGTAGTGCCTGAAAGTGCAAAAAAATGGTTTACATCTCTTTTGATAAAAATGAATGTAAAGGGTTAAAAAACAAACCAAAAAGATTAGGGGTGAAAAAGTAGTTCAATTAGGCTCTGGTTAAAATGATTATTCTGAAAGGTTGTATCAAAAGAGCAGCCATCCACTTGCGAAAAAGAGGAACCCTCAAATGAGACAATTTCCTCCAAGTCAGTGTGGTTTCTTTTTCAGAAAAGCCCCAGTTTCTTGCAGTTTCTTTTCAGGGTCCTGATACTTATGACAATGTGACGCTGATGTGCAGTTTCATATCTGCACAAGTAAAGCACCAACGCAACTAATGGGATATTTTGGGACCTTAAAGCAGGAGAGTTAACTGTTAACAGACTACAAAAGAAAGGTTTTACTTATTAAGACTTTGATCTTGAAAAAAAACAGGACTTGAGTGTCATGATAACTATACTTAATCTGTCTTAAAATACACTCTTGTTAGATGTCATGATGTCAGCAGTGGTACAACACCACATCATTTTTAACTCAAGAGGATAACGCTGTAAAAGATCAAACACTCACTGCTGTGATGAACGTGGTGCCCTGGGGTTGGAGGTCCTCCTCTTTCTGGAATATGGAAGCAGACACTATGGAGGAGGGAGGTGTGGAGGAGCAAAGGAAGGACGGGGGGTCATTGTTATTGAAGGAGTCCATGCCGGTGCTAGGGTGCCCCGGTAGGGTGAGGGTGCTCAGCCCGGATACACTGTCAGTGGAGGTACACTGGGAGGAAGTCTCTGAACTCTCGGTGACTGTCAAACAACACAGCAACAATGACATGAATTAGCGCATTAACAGAGGATCAAACAGATCGAGGACAATCAGATAGTTGCCAAGTTTAAAAAATAAAAATAAAATAATGCAAATCCACTCACTCATGGAGGGCTGGCTCCCGCTGTCCTGCTCCAGCTCGTCCTCCTCTATGCAGTCGTAGGGCCACTGGGCAAAGGAGGGAATGCTGCTCATCGGATACGGATGTGTGTGCGGGTGAGAGGGGGAGGAGTACAGATGAAGATTGAGCGAGCCCAGCAGGGAAGAGGACGACTGGCTGCTGGAGGAGGAGGTGCTGCTGTTGGAGATGGTGGAGTGAGGTCTCTTAAAGGAGGTGGCGTGTTCAAACGAGGGCACTGCAATGGACGCTCTGGTTCTAGACTCTGTCGGCAAAACGCACAAGTCATAAAGTTAAGTTATTATAGCAAGGAAAAAAATAGCATATCTACATGATTACAAGTTGAACCCTGAAGACACTGGAGACAGGATAACTCAAGAAAGATGCAAAGAAATATGAAAATGTTGCTGTTGATGAATTGTGCCCACCTGACCCCTTCATGATATAATCAATGGCTCTGTCACTGATCGCTGCGTCACTTGGCTTGATGTCCATAAAAGGCTTGCTTCCTATTCCCATGGACACCATCTCCTGCATGCGCAACTCTGGAATCCAGAAATGTAGATGTTGATTGACAATGTCTGTGTGTGAGCTTTTGAAGTTAATATAAGAATTTGAAATACCTCTGTTTCTGAGTGCCTGTCTCCACAGAATCTTCCCTATGATGGCTGTCCACACCACCTTGACTTCTGACGAGCTGGCTTGCAATATGAACGTATCCTGTGACTTTCTCCGACGAAACCAAATCTCAAAGCGTAAGCCGCTGTCACCGACATTTTCAGTCATACCAATCTCTGCTGTCTGAAATGAAAAGAACAGAGCTTTAGAGTTATAATCTGAGTTTAACCCAAAGTGCCGAAAGTCTTCCTGTAACAATCAAACTCCTACTTTGAAGGACTGTTTGTAGATGTAAAAGTCATATCCTCCTTCGATCTTCTTGGTCTTGCTGAAGAGGATGAGGTCTTCAAACAAGAAGACGTGGCGGAGGTATTTCCTGCGTCCACACCAGACTATGAACTCATCCTGGCAGCGGAGTTGACCCTGCTCCTTAAGGTTCACCTGGAGAGGAAACAGGACGGGTCACATGCGTCAGTAAGAACAATACAATCCCCGATGACCTCACTCTACTGTATAAAGGACAAGATGACTCCAAAGTTTAAAATAGTTTCAAAAAGCATGGCTTCAGCAGAAATCTTGTAAAAAATCAAAATGCTACTTTTTATAATTATAATAACATCAAAGTACTCATTATAGCCAGGGGTGGAAATGGAGGGGAGCACAGTTCTAGGAGTAAAATTGGAGGTGGGGTGGTGTGGTGTTAGCCCTCAGAGTAATCTATCAAAAAAATCTATTTGATCTGATTATAGCAACATGTGGTTTTGTGCCGATGCATCATGACTTACATCACAGCCTCGGATGGCGTCCATAGCCAGCAGGTCGTTGCCGTGGCGAAGCTGAAACTTGACCATCTCCTCTGCAGTGCGGAGGTCACTCAGCTCCTGCTCCTGGGACTGACTGCACTCCTTGATCAGGTCTTTGAGGAGCAGGGCGTATTTACTCATCCTCTGGATGGGCTTCAGCAGGTAGGATGCCAAGTCCATTTTGTCCCCCAGCTCCATCTGCTTATTCTGGAGGGACACAGTGAGGATTAGAATCATGCTATCGGTCTTTAGAGTTACTCATTTAAATGTCAGGAATGTGGCGACTTAAAAAAACAGAACTTAAAAAGGGTGGGTGAAGTTCCGACTTTTTCTTTTTTAATTTCTAATTATTAATTGTATATTTTTATTATTATTTTATTTAAATAAGAAACATATAAATATCAGTATTGAAGAGGTTTTGTTTTTAGTAGCTCACATTTACTTTCAACATAAACACATCATATAGACAAGAATTCCATATTGGGGTCCACTGAACATGTTTACAAAAGAATTGTGACAAATGTTTGAACCAATGCAAATTTTACACGAGAAGTCTAATTTGCAGTGCCCTCTGGTGGCCAAATCATGTAACCGCGACACTGCTTCTAAAGGAACTCGACCATCTCTGTCTTATTCTCTACATAACAACAGGGTTAATTCTCCACCAAGCCATAAAACGAATAACTCCATCATCTACCGAGGAAGACCATGAGGTGTGGATGAAGGCTTTGAAGACTTAAAGTAAGTTAGACCTTGCTTTGAGAAGGTGGCATCATTTTCATAATTTTTTATATTTGTGTCTAAAATCTGTCATAAAGCGTGAAGCGTATGGAAAAAAACAGTTTTCTTTCCGAATGTGTCAACCATTTCAGCCCAGAGAGACTTTGTTGTGTGTTTTGTTTTCGTAATGACCCTCCAGGACACTGCGCACCGTGTGAGCAATGTGACCCGTGTGAGTTGCCAGACGCACCTTAAAGAATTCGTTGCCATGGCTGCAGAGCAGAGTGTCGGACTGGGGCTTATTCTTGCTGTACAGAGCATACATTCCAAACTGATCCTCCTGCACACAAGATTAACAAGTTATGACACTGACTACAGTAAAAAGTATGCAGACATTTCAGTATGCTTTGACAAACATTATGCATGATTCAGTCAATGCCATCAGCTGTATTAATAAGCTCCCGACAAGTGAAACAAGGGTGTAAGAACAATCACAGAGCAGTGTGAGAATAAAACCCTGATGTAAACGTATTTAAAGTTGTTATCTAAAGTTGTTTTTATCTTTAGGTTACAATTTCATTACAGTCACTGCAGTTGGGAAACACTAGTTGGGAGACATTATGTGCCGCCTCATAGTTATCTAACTTTCTCTCTGGAACTCACATGTCTGAGAAAACAGCTGCTGATGGAGAGCGGGGAGTGGGCACACGACTCCAGCTCCTTCAGGAAGTACTGACTGTGGAAGTCCCACAGTTTCTCCATGTTCCCAAAAATGATGCTTCGCTTCCCCCGCAGGTCCTGCGGCAGGTCAAGTCGCTCCATCTCCGGGAAATAGTGCTCGATGATGTAGCTGAGGGAGCGGACGTACTCCCTCTCTGTGGAAATCATCTCATCCATGATGTGCTGCACTTTACTGGTGGATGAAACGACATGATATAGTGTCAGATTAAGAATATTTTTCTTTTTTTAAAAATCTACAACAGTGTTTATTTCCTCACCTGCTCTGTTTCTTTCCATCTCCCTCGCTGCGTCTGTTGTGGATCCTGGTGGGGGTCGACATGCTGCGGCTGCGTCCTAACGCGGGGCTCGTCACGTCAGGTCTCTGCAGCTTCTTCTCCACAGACACGTTATTTGCCACTTCCAAACCCTTGATGTAAACGCCCGTGTAGCCGTGAATGTGGCTGACGTCGGAGTGACTGCTGTCCCTGGGGGTCAGCTCAAAGCTCATGGTCTTCTTCATGATCTTCTTCATGGGCTGCTTGCGAAGCCGGGCAGCTCCAGAGTAGACGGGCTCCGAGTGGCAGGAGATGGTCGAGTCGATTGTGCAATCGCTGTCCGTGTCCTCGAACATGGAAGGACTCTGCCTCAGTTTGCTGTCGCAGTCGGGGGAGAAAGGGAAGTGTGAAGAGGAGCAGATCGAGCTGGAGGGGCTCTTGGAGAAAGGCTCGGCAGAGGGAAGCTTGTTGTCCTCAAAAGTTAACGGTGTGATTGCTCCAGGTAAAAGGACACATGCGTTAGTTCCACACTCTTCTGTTGTTGCAATCTGCTTTTCAGGAGTCTTTAAAGAAGCTGCGCGATCAGCATCTGTACAGTCCGGTTCTGCTGTTATTGATTGAGCCAAAACCTCTTCCAGCTGCTGCTTGGTCCGCTGACATTTGTGCCACACTGTGTTCAACTGCTCCAGCTGCTGAGGACTCTCCAGAGACAGCACCATGTCATTGAGGGTGCTGAAGTTATCCACAGAGAACTTGGATGCCTCAGCGTAGTAATCCTGCAGGTTCTGAACCTCTGATGGCGACAGTCTAACACCTGTACTGTCCAGACTCAGCTGACAGAAATAATCCTGGCAGTGCTCCATCCACTGGTTCACCTACACATTTGAAAGAGTGATTAACCTACTTTAAATCATAGTTAAATATCTTGATAAAGGCTCTTCAGTCATAAACACACATTCCTTAGGAAAGCATTTTGGTTGAGATGTCCTGTTGTTGTTATTCTCCAAGTATGATGATGATTACAAATGATCAAGTAGGACTATATGTCTATCTTTTAGGATGTAACACCATACAATTTCTTAACAGCTGAAGACATTTTCCTTTGTCATACACACTGTAAAACACTCGGATTAAAAAGCTATGCTCGATCAGGGAATGCTCAAAATGCACAACTCAACGCCTGACAACGTACCGGCGTTAGTTTTTCATACTTACCGAGTCATAGAATTCATACAGGTTGGCTAGGATGTCTAGCTGGGCCTTCCTCCTCTCCACTCTGCCTAAGATGGAGCCCAGATGCTGCTTAAAGTCAAGGAGAGCAGAACCGGGAAGAGACTCTGGAGACTCCTTTACCAGCTGCAAGCCATGCCTCTGCTGGTGCTGGTCAGGAAAATGACAAAACTGATTTAATATAGCACTGCTGGTTTTACCACACTTACACAAAAGGAGGTTGTTCACTCGGATCAAAGTGATGCTATTTACCACTGACTCCTCCATAAACTGGTCCAAGCTCTCTCTCATCTCCTTTATTTTGGTCACAGACAGAGTCAGTGTTTCCAAAGGTGTGAGTTGCTTATCTCCCTCTCCACTGAACCAGACTTTGATCTGGAAAGAGAGGAGGGGATTGTTTAATACATCAGTTTCCCATTTTTGTCCAGAGAAAAAGGAAAGCAGCTGAACATGTGCACATTGGGCTGACATGGGACTGTCACAGATGGCTGTATGGTTATGTTTTCTGATAAACTTTTGAATGTGTGGAACTGGTAGACAATGTATACAAAGCATCTTTAATAGAGTTATTAAGAAAGCCCCCTCTGTGAGTACCTAGCTATGCCACACAAAATCAGTGCCACCATATTGCAATATATATAATCTCTGCATCCGTTTTCACAATCCAACATACGTTTGGCTTTAACCTACAGCACGTTAAGTAGTCAAAGGTGAAATAGTTTGAGCTCACCTGTTGCGTTTGCTCCTCAAACTTGCGCACCTCCAGCAGACTCTCTAACTGTTTCTGAGACTTGTTGGACAGGATCACCAGCTTGTGGACTTCTTCATCTACTTGGTTGTACAGTGCATTCAACCTGTCTACAGCATCTCTAAAATCAAAGAAAACAATAACCAGGCAAAACACGTTATGAGAATCGCTTTAAACTATCACCATCTGTTAAACTCACATTGTGATCTCACTGTGCTCGAGAGTGTTCCTGCAGTACCTGTAGTTCTCATTCTCACAGGCCTCTTCCTTCCTGATGCGCGCGAGGACAGTTCCTCCTTCCAGTCGCAGTCGGTTTAGACGAGTGTCATCTAGCACTCGTTTCATGAGATGCCTTTGCTGTTCCATCACCTCTGACACCTCCTTATGAAGATGTACAAAATGGAGATGAGCATCAAAAGAATGGATCGATTTTAACAGAGGATGTTATCATTAAATTGTGCCCAGATTTTCACTTAAAACAAAACCCTTCAAGTAAATGTACAAGCACATGGATCCCAAACGGTTTACTCCAGATCAGAGCGAAAAGGCCAGCAGAAAGCCTTGGTGTGTTAATGAATGCACATAAAGAAGGAGGACAGACTGCCTGCAGGGGGGGTTTGGTTCTGACCTGAGAGGTCTTCAGGTTGCCGCTGTTGCTCAATGTGCTAATAGACTCCTGAAGGGAGGAGATGGATGCACTACAACTGCTGGCAAAGGGTTCAATTTTCTGCGTGAGAGAGAAAGAGAGAGAGAGAAAGAGCGATGTAGAGAGATTAATACCAGTAGTCACAGAAACATATTTACTCCTAAAATCTGCAAAACATCCTGGAAATACTGTTCACAATTACCCCCTGTCCCTGCTGAAGTACAAGGGGTTGATGAACCAACATCACACACCCACCTGTCTGAAGTGGATCCAGTGGTTGTGGTCGTAGTGGAAGGTTCCCTCCAGGTCTCTTGTGAGCTGAGTCTGATCGATGTGCTTCAGCAGGGACTTCAGAGAGGACAGTGTCTCAGTCTGTGGAAAAACAAGCAAAGAAACGTAGTAAGGACTCATTCTGATTGTTTGCTCTGTCCTGCTTCAAAGCCATGGTGACATTAACCAACCACAGGACCTTTTCTGCTTGCCTCACACATTACAAAGAGAGAGAGAATTCAAAAGTCATGTGCCTTGTTGCAGGGACATGCACAGATACGTTGGAGTTCAGTATGTACACAAGCGGGACTGATTTCTTTTTTGTTTTCATTCTTTCTGATGACAACACGATCCTGTTTTCTACTAGAGAACAATTCCTCTTTATCTATATAGACCCTTTTATACAAATATGTAGCCCAAAGTTCCTCTCAAAGGATCATACAAATACAAAATAAACTACAGAAGCTTACAGGATAAAGTTTAAAATTCTCACCCTCACTATTAAAGCTTGTCACGTACAGGCCCCAGATTATTTGTCAGAACTCATTCATCCATACTCATCAACCCTCTCCCTGAAGGTCTAACAAACTAAACCTGCTGTTTGTCCCACAGACTTCATTTAAAACGCGCTGTGATCATGCTTCTGAGGCCATAGCGCCAATCCTGTTGAACTCTCTGCCCATGTTGTTACGTTCTTCTGACTCTGTTGAGTGTTTTAAAAAGCTGTTCAAAACATATATGTTTAGACAGGCCTATGAGTAATCAAGTCCCAAGTCTACCTTCTGTGATTTATCTGTTATTAGTTTTACTGTGCCAATTATTGTTCCTGGTCATATCAGGAGTAAAGTATGTTGATCTGTGAGATACCTCTTTTTTTCCATTTTTATTTCTGTATGTTTACTGTGTTGATGTCAAGCACTTTGTCTGCTACATACATAAAGTTGACTTACAATAACTACGTCAGATACAATACAACTAATCTAAAAATATCATGTGATAAGTTTTCATTGTGCAGAGTTATGAACAAACACGCGTACCTAGTAATATTTCTGTGCTTTCAAACCTCTGCAGCGGAGTAGTGCCAGAATTGCACAGAGCCACAGATATACATTCTGAACACACCCAGCACCTGGTGCTGGCAAGTTCAGTGTAGGCAAAAAAAAAAAAAAAAAGAAGCTTATTAAAAGTTGGTCCATCTGTGCACACGCCTCTAATGAAATAGACTTAAAACAAACACTTGATATTTAGGGTTTATTTATTTTTTTATGTCTGGTATCCACCTGATATTAGAATCTTGTTGTACCTGTACATTGATGTCTCTCTCAGGTTTGGCCGCTGCCTCCTTGTCCACCAGGAAGAGAACTGTGTAAAGTGCATTTGGTACTAACGCCTGAGGAAAACAGCAAAAAACAACAACAGTCAATTAAAATGAGTTACACTTTTTTTTTAAATAAATGTACATTTTATTTACATGAACAATTCAGTACTTCAATTGTGAGATTATAGTGACTTTAAATACATGACTTGTGGTTTACAGAATTAACGTCCTTGTATCAGTAAGAAACTCGTCATTAAAACATGATGATGTGTCTCTTGTAAGTCAGCTGCAGCCCGCTTGCTCCCAGCGTGTGGTTAAAAACAGACAAGTAAGCACAGGCTTCTCCACAGGAGCCCTGAGGCCAGCCTTTTTCATAAAAATGTCTTAGAACTGCAGTCACCACACATTCAAAGGTGTGCCTCACTAAGAAACCAAACTGTGTCAGAGACTGAGAGGCAGAACAAAAGGAAAAGTGTACGGAATGCCAAAGTGTAATAACTTCAAGAGGGAGACATGACATTCAAGCTCAGAGGACAACAGAGGTTTAGGCAGGGTCTGAAAACTCTCTGGGTGTGTTGGAGGGTAATTACATAGTTTTCCAAAGCAGGCTCACCTGCAATTCAGACAGAGATGACAAAAGAGCTGGAACCGGCTGCTGCCTCCTGCTGTCTATAACAACAGAGAGACCTTGATCACGCCTTTCCTTCCTAAAAACAAAGCATAACAATGAGACAGATTATTGTATTTACATTATTACCATATGTTATTTAAACTAAGAGAGGTTTTTTGTGATATTTGTCGGACATTTTTCCTCCAACAATGCAAATAACTTTAAAATTGCTTTAAAACACAAAAAGTGAGGTACACAAATACAGATGCATTTGTGAATCTTTTGGCATTGAATAACAGATGTAGTATTAATAGATATTGAACAAATGTCTGCATAGGACATTAGGAGCATTCACCTCAGGGGTGATGGACAGGTGGGATATTTACTGGAGTGATTCTGAATAAAACGGTGCCTGACTTACCGCAGTGTGGAGTAGTAGTAGCCCAGTAAACAGGTGAGGTCACTGACCGTGCAACTCTCACCTGCCCACACCTGAGCTCTCGTGCACACCTGCAGCACCGCCCTCCCACTGCGATCTCGGTTTCCTGGAAGAGAGAAGGCAGCAGGGAGTCAACACCTGATACTTACGTAACTTACAAAAATGTTTGAGCTTAACACAGTTCATACATGACCATGTCAATAATGGAAATAATGCTGCTCAAAGCCACATGGTGTACCTGAATGTTTTAGGTACATGTGCATCAAGAAAACAAGACAATAACAATCACCCTCTATGTATTTTCCTCTTTTCAAAGTGAGCTTTAAGCAAAGTTTCCAATGTTAAAATCTTCATAAGCCATTATTTAAAGGGAATAAAAACAGTTGTTTTCAGATTTCCCGTACCTGGCAGCATCACAGCGCCTGATGTGAGCAGCTCTTGATTGACTTCAGACACCAGTCTAGGGAGTGCGGTGATACTCTCATAGGGCGAGCTTGAAGCCAGCCTGATGGCTGACCCATTTGCAGCTTTAGGACTGTGTGACTCCTCTCTGCTGTATCTGTGCCCCCTGATCTCGCTGCTGATGGTGTCATCACGTAAACCTGTAGAGGGAATGAAAAATAGTGGGCAAAAACTGTAGAAAAAATACAGAACAAAAGTTCAAAATTAGAGTCTTGAGTGCACCTCACTTCTCCCTGACCGTATTGTTTAACCTGATGAAGTATGTGTTTATTGATGGCCTAGGTAAGAGTTCTCTAGAAATGAGTTCACACCAACTCATCCTTGACACCAGGTGTTAAGTGAGGCTGACTCATCCTGAACTTTGGCATTATTAGACTCTCATATCTGAGTTCACTCCCTCCTCTTCAGCTGTTTATACCTAGAGGCTCTTCATATTGGAATGCTGCCCCTGGCTTTTCCCAAATGGTGCCACATTGCACAGACTTGATCCAACAAAACAGCGTGCAAAGTGCATCACTGCATCTTGCTTCAGACTTCATTGTGCTTTGACCAAGAAAAAATGTAAATAGATACAAATGAACGAACATGCTGCTGGACAATATAGACTCCGTACTTACATTTTTCACAATATTCAGTTTTTTAAGATATAAAAGGTATTGCTGTTAATATATAGAAATACTTTTTACATTATTTATAATTACAAAATATATATTTTTTAACAGAGCTTGTATTATGACAGGAAAAAAAGTCATCCCTGGGTGTTTTTTTTTTTTAACAAGAAACTTTAAATTGTGACATCCCCTCTACATCGGATGCCAAATTTGATGCTCCTCGTTTCCTGTTTTCTCGGGGTTAGACCTACAGTCAGCTCAAACAGAACCTCCTCGACCTGATGTGCCCCATGTTTATCAGGCCATCAGTAGCTGCAACATCCCCTTTATCCACACTGGTAGATGTGGCTGTTGTGTAGAGCTTCCTTTGGTTTTGACACAAATAAACTCAAACAGTCTGACTTATCCACTTTCCTTTCAAACTGATAACAGGGATTTCACTTAAACAACTATTCCAACTTACCTATAGTAATGCATGATTTAACTAAATATACCTTTATCTCTTATCCTTGATACAGTTTAATGATGTAACACAGGTTAACTCTTACTTTTTATGAAAACATTGAAATTACTAAGTGTGTCTACAATCATGCTAGCAGCTCTGCTAGTCTGTAATTAGGCAAAGTAATGCTTTGAGCTGCATGCTAATTCCAGCAGACTAACATACTCACAATGACAATGATAACGTTTAATGGCTATTTAGTTCACCATCTCAGTTTAGTGTTAGCATACTACCGTTTACTATGGAGCACAAAACATGAAGTACAACTGAGCCAGATGGAAATGTTGAAAGTTTTTGGTCCTTTCAAGCATTTGACGGGGCGACATTATGACCTGATGAGATCACTAAAGTTAAGGTGATTTGTTTTCTAAGGACCAAAAATGTACGCTCTCTGCATTTCCTCTAATATTTATTCATATTTCAGGTTACAGCAAAGTCATAGACATATCTTTTATAAAAAACAGACAACCAAGCATTGATATGCTTTACTACAAATAAACCTCCATAAGCTATAGACCACTACTGTCTCTGATCACCTGTTGTGTGTTGTCTTTTTAAACAGTCTGAGGCCTCTTGTATTGTCCTGCTCTGTCCTGTGATAGTTAACCCCCCTCAGCTCAGCCTCTTTTGTCTTCAAACAGTCGGTGCATTTCCTGTGCGACTGTGTGACCAGGCTTGTGTTTGCTGCATGTTTCCTAAAATGCTTTGTTTTCACAGGAAGTGACAAACGAAGAGTAAAGCCTCCTGAGTATTGTCCTGTGTCAATGTCTGTTTTTGTGCAGTCGGAGGGACACGTTTTAAAAAACATCATAAAGCCTGAATGTGCAATGGTTCCTCAAACTTTAAAGCTCATTTGAGTATATAGTAGCTCATTATGAAAAAGCCTGATATTAATATTAATGCCTCCATATGCTGTACAAAAACAAACCAGCCCATCAGCGAGGGGATTAATTATTTTTTAAATCATTATGTAACATATCTGTCACCCCTGCAGTGCAGTAGGTAGGTTTTACGATAAGCAAATCAACGGCACGCTGCCAAAACAGCCTTATGTTTAATTTATTCCATTCCAAACATTTGTTAGGAGTTTGAGGTTATACATTTAATTTAAAAGGACAAAACACTGTATGTACAGGACAAAATCAGCCAATTGATCAAGTCCGATTTGTCCACAGGGGGCACCAAAATCGAGTAATTCAAAGAGTTTTAAGTTACAGATTTCATAATTTACATGACAGAGTCTATGTTTTGATATTGAAATTTGATGGCTCATATCATGACTCACTTAATCCTTTGAGTATACATTTCATAGTAGAGTGAGTCAGTGCAAGTCAGTTTCTGTGTTTCTGGGGTGAGTGACTTACAAGACACCGGCACAGTTTGAATGTTGTTTTTTCTTTCCCTGGTGGATGATTGATTCACAAAGGAAACTTTTGTAGATGAGGCAACCCATCTGGGATCAGTGCAGCCCCCAGTCACCGTGGGGTCATGTCATTGTGGCACGTTGGGGTCCTGTGCTTGGTTTACAGGATTCTTTGTTGCCTTTGAAACATCATTATGAGAAACCTGCTTTGCAACATCTGAAATACAATCCCCTCTGAGGTAATCTCAGAAACATAACACTGATGTGATTTGACTACTGTATTGGGTAAATGGTGTGAACTAACCACATTTTGAAGAACATGGCATAAATATGTTGATTCAGAGAATCTTTTCAAATGGCCTTACTATTGTGTGAAATTATCCTAGGATAGGATTCAGACATTTAAATAAACAAAGTCACTTTCCTTCTCCAATTTCAATTCATGGATGAATCTGTTTTTGCTTAAACAGCATGATTCCCTTGGTGGATCTCACACAGTGACACTTTCCTGAGCTACCCTGTGTGAACCGACATAAAAAAAACAGTCTGGAAGAGTTAAAGAAAACAGGGTATGATTATAATCCTGTTTCCAGGGGTATGGCCGTACCTGTCCCGTGAACGTGCCAAAGAATACACAGGGGTTTTGAAAAGCAATCTGTCACCGCTGGCAGCGTTAAAGCTGTAATGAGCTGCAGCCATGTGATGCTGTAACCAGCCCTGCTGCAGGGTATGATTACACACCCTGCTGAGAAACCACCATCATCGAGGTCTTAAGATTGAAACTTGGTTTTTACACCCTGAGGTTGTCTTATTCGATAAGTGAGGGATGACTAACCTTGTAGCCATGACGATCCAACCACTGTTGGAGAGCACCCAACATGTCATTATGAAACAACTTTTTAAGTTTTGAATAAGAGAGTATCACCTAAAATAAAGTAACTATTGAATGTTTGTATATATCTAATCTATATAAAATAGTCTGTATTGAAGAATGAAAAGTATTATGATTGTTTGAATACCCAATGAGTAAGATTGTTACTCTATTATTGTTGTTGTCCATTAATCCTATTATTAGATCAAAACCAATGATGAATCTGTTTCTCAGACAGTGAATTTGTCTCCGTTAAACCTTCCTACCCTGTTTTTGGAACTCAAACAGAAGTCCATTGATATCTATTGAATGTAAAAATATTTAAAAACAAGTGTCAAAGTTTTCAAAAACCAAAGCGAGCTGCATACTGTAGTTTGTGCATTTTTTGAGGTCAGTCAACAACTGACTGTTGATCATGGAAGCAGTGGGGGTTAACTCATTGCCCATATTCACTGTAATGAAACAATGGATCAGCCACAACATCAGTGTTGTGTCGGGATTTGTTTTGCAGTTGTTTAAAAGGGGCTATATGTAACTTTTTACATGTATAAATCATTTTTTATCGGCCATTAATAAGCGAACGGTTAACTGATGTGAAAAAGTAGATGTTCACTGTCTATCTGTGTTGCCTGTATAAAAAGCTCCAGGAAATGACAGTTTATGCGTGTTCTCAACGTCCTCCTCACTCCGCTCCGCTTACAGAGATCAACAGTACAAACTCATCACACACTCCCGGTCTTCACCTGCACAGCCAGAGGCCGTCTTCTACACACTTCTATCCGCCCTAAGAGCTCTCAAAGACGGACAAACTCATCACACACTCCTGCTCTCAGCCAGTGCCTGCAGAGACTGTCGTTTGTAGGATGGAGAATGAATACAGACACACAGACTCCTTCACAGACTTTCACATGTGTATGACCACTTACCTCCTCTGTAAACATTATGCTGGTAAATATCCATTGTTTCGCGGCCGATGATGATGCTCGTTTGTGTATGTACGAGCACGCATTACCAGCACGCAAGGGAGAGTGAGCAACAGGTTACTGGTGCAGTTCGCCTAACGGCCATGCGGTATCGCTACAAACGCAGTATTTTTGAAAGTTACATATAGCCCCTTTAAAAAAAATAAAAAATTCCATGTTACAGATTATCAATGTCAGGCTTTGGGTACGCGTACAAATAAATGTTACAATGCTCAGTTCCTTGTTGGTTTCTGTTCTTTCTTAGGGGATTTTTAACTATTTAAAAAATGTATCATTGTTATATACAGTGTACATATTGCCTCAAATGAGTTTAAGTTTTGCTTATAGAAGTTTACCCTGAGGAATATACGTGGATATTTAAGCAAAACGTAATAGATAAACAGGCTGTTATAATGTGATATTGTCCAAAGACTCAGGTACTGACATTGTCTGTATTTACCTCTTCAAACATGTAGCACAAAAAGGGTAACGCCCAGGCATGTTCAGCAGTGCCTTGCATGTGTGAAAGTTCCTTTAGTGTTCGTAAACATAGTTTGAATGAGTGATGCATTGTAATAATTTACAGCTGGTTGTTGCTTCATTCTGTATACACTGTTGGGGGTTCCCTCTGGAGGCTTCATATTCTATAGATTGGTTATATGTTTGTTATTTCTTTCAGGAAATAAAGTGGATAAGAAGTATAGAGTGTGATTAAAATGACATTAAGTAAGTAATAATCTCAAAACCGTCCACATTTGAGTAAATCTACTTGGATACAAGCAGGAAAGTTTTTTTTTACTTAACACCATGCAGTGCTGCAGTCACATACCTGGCTCCTCTTTGCTGCTTCTTCTCTCAGAACCAGGAAAAGCTGCCTCGATACCCAGCTTCCCAATATGAAAAGTGTATCCGTTAATCAGTTTTTTGGGAGAGATACTGGTCGAGCCTCCAGAAGAGGATCGTTCTCTGTGACCTTTGACCTGTCCCGCTTTGTTAGTCCTTTCCAATGACTTTGAACGTCTTTCGGCCCGCCTTTCTGCACTCCTCAGCCCCCTCTGTAAGTAAAGCAAAGGCGTGCTGGGCCTGGAATCATCCCCAATGAGCCAGCCACGGCTACCCAGCCTCCGAGATAAGTGATCTCTGGAGGGGGTCCGGGTGTCAGGGCTGCTGCCGGGTGTCACCATCCTGTCTCTTAGCCCAGCACTGTGCTCTGGGTTTTCCTCCAGGATGGATTCAGAGCTGGACCCGAGGCTCATGGGGTTCTGCAGAGCCTCCATGTAAGACTTCCTGAAAAGTCTTTTGCTCTCGAATGTTACAGAGTCCCTTGGGAGGCGGCGGCGAGGGCCTGGGTTACTGAGGTCTGTGCTAAAAGAGAGCATTTTGGACCCAGGCCCTGGCTCCTTTTCACTGCTATCCTCGCTCCCTCGTCTGATATTGCCCTCCTCAGTGGGTCCTTCGATTTTAATAATGGGTGTAGTAGAGTCTGGTGGACTAACACTGTGGGTCTCACTGCTGGGGTCCATGAAATGTCTGTTTGGGGAGGCGGGCTCAGAGAAAAGGGAGTCTCCCTGTGAGTGCAGGGACTCTCTGGAGCTGCGGTGGCTGTCCAGAGTACCCGTCGAACCACTGGTGCTGCAGGTGCTGAGCTGGCTAAGGAATCCACCTCTGCTGCATTGCGCCTGCATGATGGCGTCTGACGTGCTGCTGACAAAAAGCGGGTTAACCACGTTCTTCCACGGCGTCCTGTACACGGACTTACCGGTGGTGAGCAGGCAGTTCTGTAGCGGCTGTATGTTTCGGTCTCGTGTTACATTCTGCAGGAACTCAGCTGTGAAGACGCTGCCATACATGCTCTCTGCGATGGGGATATCTGTAATGGCCTGCCCACTGGCCGACAAACATTTTATTACGAGCTTAGCGGTCTTGCGCCCTAGAGGAACTATTTGTAGGTAGAAGTCTCCTTGCTTTAGTCGCACTTTGTGCAAAGGGGCGATCTGCAGGACGACTTTTTCATGGATGCAGAGAGGCCAGCCCTCATGATAGAACAGCAATCCTCTGAACTTCACCTGCGAGAAAACAAAACAGAAATCAGTCAAACCTTCTCCCATTAAAAAAATATTATTATGTTCTGTGAGTCATCGCTCAGCTGTGGTTCGCCTTGCATCATTACAACTGACACCTGCAAAGCCGTGTTCAAACACATGTTTAACTTTAAGACAGAGGTGAGATGTTTTCATTGGACACACCAAATGATTCACTGTCAGAGATTGTTCAGCTACAGGAAAACCTGTCTGATCAGGCCGGGTTTCGCAGGTTTCACTCTGACGTAGTAAAAAAAGTTATCCTAAGAGCAAAGAAACAGTGCTCAAGGCTGGCTTTTTTCATCTCTAATGTCAAGGCAAAGACTGAGGATTTTTGATCTTCCTCTGAAGTGTCTCGTGTTGCTTGCTATACAAAGACTCTCATGCAGGCCTAGCTGTTCTCAGGGGAGAGGCTTAGGTGAAACTGTTGCTCCATTGCTATCGTCACAGTGTAATCGCTGCAGAGATGAATACAGAGGAATAAAGTTTCAGTCCTTTGAGTGTAAAGTCCTTACACACAGCAATGAAAGCTGATGTGAGAGAATACTGAATTTCACTTTGGGCCAAAGAGTCCATGGCAACCTTTCAAACAGACTACAGCTTCCCTCTGTTTTCCTGTTCAGAGAAAGATTGCAGCTTTTCAACTTGTTTTCCAAACAATACTTAACTCTGTCTCACTCTGATTCTTGACCTTCCCACTCAACACATTCCCACTCAACACTCACACTGTGCTCACATTCTTTGAAAACAAACTGAGTTCTTATCACTTCAGTATTATTATTATTATTTTTCTTGTTTGTTTTGAATCTGGGTGATCTGACACACTGAAACAAGTTTTTGTTCGGCTTTTGGAATATTCTCATTGTTGTGTCCTCAATGCCTATTTCTTAAAATGTTATTTTTCAAATGAAAGTAAAACATAGAATACATCTAGCCGTTCTGTATAAAACATCACTTACATTGGTTTAAGATAATCTCTGAAAATGACAGTTGAAAGTAATCAACTAAAAAAAACTCACAGAGGTTTCTTGTTGGATGATCTGCAGAATCCGCTTTGCAGGGAGCAAGAAGTCAATAAGGCAGCGGAGGCCGTCTCCTCTGTACTGCCTTTCCACCACGCTGAAGAGCTGCCAGAGGACAGTGGCGGCAGTGGCACTGAAGGGTCGGTACAGGGCTGACAAGGTGTTCTGAATGCAATTGTCCAAAGACTCAGCGTCCTGAGGAAGCAAAAGAGCTGGATAAGTTTGGATCTCTTTAATCAAGGGTAGCTTGTACTATTTATGATGATTACAAGAAGGATTAAGCCACATGAAAACATTGGAATATAAAAACACCAAATGGATTTGGCTTGTGACTCTTCTGAGAAAACATTCTCAACGTCATTACAGGTTGTGGCCTTGGTGTGAACATTGGCTGTTAGCATGCTGGACAAATATTTATGCCCCTTATTTCCAAGGATATTAAGACACATAAATTATAATTATTATTATTATTATATTATAAGTGCCCAAAAAAGAATTTAAAAAAAGCAAAAATTTTACAGAGAAAAATGTTGCATTAACATTTAAACAATTTGTTTTGGATTTTTTTTGGGACCCATTGGGAGGTCCTAACTTTTGGGTTTACCACTGAACAAGAACGCTATAGACTAGAGTCTACAGACATGAGTCTACAGACAAGAGTCTACAGACATGAGTCTACAGACAAGAATCTACAGACATGAGTCTACAGACAAGAATGGCAATGCTGTGTTTTGGAGCTAAATGCTAAGGCTTGGTGCTAGTTTCCTTTCAATAGTCATGCTAAAATGCATGCTAATGTTTAGCAGGTATGTCTTTTATGTAAAAAATGGCAATCAGTCTATTTGTCATCATGATTTTTTACTACAAATATAAAATGTCAACCTTCTGGCCAGTCTTAAAAAAAAGTCAGTGTGTCACAAAATGCAGAGGGATTCTTCTTCTGGGACAAATCAATGCGTTCATAAACTAATAATACGTTTATAAATTGAAGTAGCTAGATTCCTTTTTTTAGCCATACTAGCAGCAAAGCATATAAAATGTATTAATCTAACAGTTCTGGGGAAACTTTTACTCAATAATAAGGCCTTTGCTTACTGTATATTTATCTGAACTGGCATGAGCACTTTAGCTACTGATCATGATTAAACTTGAGCAGACAGTCAGGAAGTTTTAACATGACAGGAAATCACAGCCATCATGGTCTTTCCATCAGAGAGAAGGGAAACACCTGGTGGGAGTGACGTCACTGTCAGTGGACACAAACAGCAGAACTGGAAAGTCCAAACTGAACTCCAGTTGTTGCTCACTAATAACAGCCATGTCATCACTGACTATTGTCTCACCTCTACATGACCCGGGACACCACCAACTATCCCCACCGCGGCAGATGACATGTCCGACACTGATAGTTACAACTCGTCCCGGAATTAGACGGGACATTTTGCATAAAAGCAATCCTGAATGAGGTCGACCCTGTCTTGTAATTTTGTTCAACGGTTCTGGCTATGACCTTACTCTCAGCAGTAAGAGCCAAGGCCAAACATCTCTCAGCTATCTGTCCTTTCCGAATGGAACACAACAGTAGAATACAGACATCTGCCTCCAATGATAACCACACAAATAGATAGCGATGCCAAGGAAAGTCCCACACTATTAAAACTGTGTACCATACTAAAGAACGTGGGGGTAAAGGACCCAGCCCTTCACAGCTACTCAAATGCCTATGCTGTGTTTACATGGCAATGTAAGTGTGTAAAAAGGATGCAAAGACAACGATATTTCCTGAATTGATCCTGTCAGACAGCCCATTTTTCACCCTTGGTAGGATGTGTCCTGTTTATCTAAGCAGCTAAGGACCATCAATTAGAGGAGAGCGAGTACAGTTCAGTGCATTGGTACACATGCCACGACTCTACTACAAGGCACTCATTGTGCACCCCGCCTCTCTAAGTGCTATGTGCTGTACAGTGCTGGTGTCCTGAAACAAAACGCCTACCTCCATTAGCAGTCAGCCTGCTTTTAGTGAGACAAAAATGTCTCTGGGCATTAGTCACTGTTACACCCGGGAGGAGAAGAATAACATGGTGTTTTATTGGAGGAAAGCTAACAATGGGAGGAAAGCCCTCGTTACAAAGTTCGGACACAGCAGCAAGTTTCTCTTCAGGTTCCCAAGGCAAAAAAAAAACAAACTGTGGTAGTGACAGATGGAGCATTTTGAATAGCAGTTACTCAAAATAAAATCAATTTGATTTCTAGATAAATCAAAATGTTATTCAACCTGTTGCAAAAGGAAAGCTGTACAGTGACCCATGGCAGCCATTCTTTTAAGATGTCATGCTCAGGGTGGGAAGCTCAAATGTAATCATATACTGTGTTTCAGGTTGTAAGTCATACAAATGTTGGGAATATCAAAACTTATAACAATAAATCGCTTTGATAGTGAAAACTGAAAAGAAATGTATGAGTGAAAATACAGAGATAAACCGAGTCATATTTTAATGTTTACAAAAAAAATCAACTTTCATATCCCTTTGCAGCATCTGCACATTGGACGCCTGCTCTACCAAATGAGGTATACCAATACCTGTCCCTCCAAATTTTTATTTGAAAGATAAAAATGATTATGTGATTTAAGAGGTTTGCAGATCTTAAACAGTGTTTTGATATTGCAACATCATTTAGCTTCCACTTTCTGCATCTGAGTAAAATTGCTGCCATGTGAATATGGTAAATGTAATCCATTGCTAAAGTATGGGCAAACAAATACCTTACCTTACAGTACCAATAACTGCCCAACACAATGTTAAATTTCAGAGTAGGCTATAGTAAAAAATGCAAAAAAAAAAAATGCAAAAAAATGGTAAATCAGTAATTATCTGCATTGGTTTTGTTGGAATTTAATGACTGGAAGAGTCCAGTTAACCGACTGCAAGAAAATTGAATAAGAAAGACTTGTTTGGGGGTGCGCTTGTTTGGGGGTGCGCTGGGGCGCGCGTCCCATGTGTTGAGACTCTTGTCTCGAGCGGGAGGCCCGGGTTTGCTTCCACCCGTGGCCCCTTTCCGCATGTCATTCCCCGCTCTCTCTCCCTGGTTTCCGACTCTATCCACTGTCCTATCTCTGCATTAAAGGCACAAAAAAGCCCCAAAAAAAAAATAAAAAAAATGAAAGACTTGTTTGTTTGTCAGTGGTTTGACAGATGTGAGGATTGTGGTGGCTGTGTTGGTTGGATCTTGAAATGATTGAATCACAATAATTGTAGCTATCTGGCAACGTATGGCATGAGTGATACTTAGACACAACAGTGGTGTAAATAATGGTGATAATCAGAAATCACACAGCCAGAGCCTGTCAGGGGAGGTGATATATCAAATAGTTTAAATTATTTTTACATTTTCAATACAGACAAGTATGTAATTTTCAGTTTTCTTAATCATGGCCTCTTAAGAACTTTGCTCTATTAACATTGCAAAAAGCTGATGTTTAATTATAAAGGTTAAGGTCAACATTAATGTTAACTAACAGACAATTAACTAACAATTGATGTAGTTACATTCTTCATTAACTGTGCCCACCTCTGGGTTACATATAATATGGAATGTATCACCTTCCATTGTAAGGAAGCATTTCAAAAGCATCACCTGGCTAGTGGAAGAGATATCTGCATGTCTCAGCAAAACGACTGAGCTTAGCCACCAGAGCTAAACTCCCCATCCGCTCTAAACCACAGAGGAATGCAGTGTGTATGGCTGTGTGGAGCCCTAAGACCCTCAGACAGGACAAGAGCAGACTGGGAAGTCCCACCCTTTCTGATGCCAGGTCTTTGTGAGCGTCCGCCTGTGTGATGGATAACTGAGGTGGTAATTAATGGCTTCAAGCTCCAGGTGGGATGGTTTTGTCTACACTGTAGGTGTAACAGCTGTGCAGAAGATGCAAAGAGCTGGAAAGCAAGCTAAAACTTTGGGGATTTCTATACACTGGCAACTTTGTAGGTTTGATTTTTTTTTTAGATATATTGTAAGGTATGGCTGAGTTTGAGGTGGGAACAACTATTGCAGTGCAAATGGAATGTAGGGTTATAAGCAAATTAAGAGAGGTAAAATATATCAGGGTCAAGTGTTTCTTAGTTGTTAACATGTGTCACACTGAAGAGTAGAGAATCAAAGAAGGGAACGAGAGAGAGAGAGAAGGGTCATAAGGCAGAGAAAGGAAGAGCGAGAGACCTGCAAAGACGGGGAGAGAGGGAACAAGATGTGGTCACTGACACATTTAGTGGGTCAGGGACACAAAAGGCGCTGCCTACCAGGCCTCCAGTGGAGCATGAAGCCACCAGGGGAGTGTAACAGGAGAGCCCCGTAGCCCCCATACAGACTGCTCGCTAACCAACCTACTAACAGCCTCAAAGGCGACGAGGCTGACAAAGGCCACAGGTTGCTCAGACCTGTACCGCTGCCAGGAGCCAGGACCCCAACAATAGATCCTAGTGAGGCCTTAGCATTGAGACTGCAGTTTGATTCAGCTTTTGATCTGTAGGAATGGAAATCTCATTTTATGAGAGGAGCAAAGTATGGAGAGAGACTGGGATACAAAGCCAGTAAATAGAACTGAACAAGGCTTTAATTATTCACAGTAGTGCAACCACGGGCTTATTCATTTCATATATTATGATAAGCAAGTTGGAACTGTTTGAATAAAAATGCCCAGAAAGTGTTTTATGTTCAAAAATTGCTCTTTTCAATTCCATTATTTGGCAGATATAAGTGGATTTCCAATCTCCTTTTTCTCTCTCCAAACAAATGCCTAAGCTTTTGACACACACTTGAATATGAACTCAAACTGAATTGTATTGAACACAACAAAAGCTACACTTTTCAATGTTTCCGATCATTACAGAACAATCTATCAATCAGAAACAACTTAATATTAGAGCGTCTGCGCAAAAAGACACGGCAGTAAATACTATAATGTTGTCTCTGCAGATAAACTTTAACCCTGAGAGGCCCACACTGATAGTGGGACAAATAATGGATGTCTGATAGTGATGAACTGGCCCACCCACATGTCCATGGAAAAAAACAGTCCCCACATATTTACATTTTAATTCCACAAGTTGTACTGTAACAGCTTAGAGAAACAAATCTGTTAATCAACAGGCATTGATGTATGCTGTAGAGTCTTCTGCCTATGTTTCCTTTTTCAAGCAAAACAGAAACAAACAGGATACAGAGAAACAGCTGTACATCTTCCTTTTTTAGTTAAGTTAAAATAAGCTATCCCAAAGGATTAATATGTGATCTTTTGTAGATTCCCACATTGGTTATCAGAAACATTTATGTAGTCACACTGCAACTAATGACTTTGTCTGACAGGATGTAAACAACTTTAACAGGATATTGTTCCTGGGAAGCCCTGATGGACCTCACTGACCCTATACAGATACATGTCGTGCTGTAAATAACACACACACAAAATGCACATATTTGATTAGGTCTTTGCATTAAAAGGAACAAGAAAACAAAAAGTGAATGTGGGTCCTTCAACCAATCAGAGCGGTGATGAGCAGTGACAGGGGAGACAAAGGAGCCTAACAAAGGGGAGATAGGGTAAATATAGCATCGTTGCATACCAAAACAAGTGGGAGGAAGATAAAGGACACTGACTTATCAGTGAGGATACAAACTTGTGTATTTCACGGAACCTTGAATTGCTAAAAAGCACATTTGTTTAATCTTGCTTACGTTGTTTAAATTTGTTTTTTTGCAGACAAACAACAACAATTGTGATGGCTGCAAAAGTGTGAAAATTGATCTAATTTGTCTTTCATCGTCATAGAGATTCCCTGTAACTAGTTGTTAAAGTTTTCAACAGGTGGAGGACACCTACAAATGACTTTCCAAGTGAACACAAAGTAGAACAAACAGACATGTAATAAACTTTTAAAGCTACAGTGAGGAGTTTTTGGCAGGTTGGGAAACAGAGTGAAATTAATACTGGTGACTCTTTATGATCTACAAAAGAAAACATGATCATCAGCATAAAGACTGTGATTTCTATTTTGTATTTTTCAGCGCCTTGAACTGATGCTAGAGGGTAGACGCCAGACGAGACAATTAACAGCATGCTGAAGAAACAGCCTTATTTACAAAAGAATGAAACACTTGATAGTTGAAAGAAAGCTGAATGATATTCTTCACCAGAAAACCCAACTCATGCATGTACAGGACAAGATATGCAGAGAGATAGAGGTACCGCTTTTTCTACAGCAGGCACGAAAATAGACACCAAAGAAATGTTCCTCACATGCATAACAAGCTACCTGCTATGTTTTGGCTACCAAACACAAAGCCAAAATATCAGCGGTCGACAAGCTGAGACGAAAACATCCATCCCCGTGAATGTGCACCACTACACACACACACACACACACACACACACACAAACACACACAAGCACACATACACACACAGCACAGTCGCTGGAGGTTCCCAGGGAAGCCAGGTTTACACTTAACACAAAAAAACAGAAACAAACGTGCAAAAACAAAAAAAACAGAAAGAAAAGGAAACTGCCACAGAAACACAGCAAGCCCCTTGAGAACATAATTGAAGCTCGTACCTTAATACTCAGGTAGTTGTCGCAACTCCGGGACTTTGCTCTGGAGTGCATTTTGCCCAGTGACAGCATTTAGGCACCCGACAATATACAACAAATAAAATAAGTGTCATCAACTCCAAGGGTTAAAATCCAGCGTACAGCTCTCTCTGTAAGTCATGGCTGTGATATCAACAGGTCCGGTGTGTTTCTCTCTCTCTCTCTGTGCTGCGGTGTAGGCAGCTGGAGCAGACTAAACTCCTGTCGAAGCGTGAGAGAGGCACAGCAATAGCTTCCCCGTCACTCACCCTCCCTCCCTCCCTCCCTTCCTCGCTCCAACATAACCTCCCCCGCCCTGCTGCTGCTGCTCTGCTACTGAAGCCTCTTCCAGCTGTGATAATGCACACGGCTGCAGCTTCAGGCTCATCATTCAGGGAGAAAAAAACAAACAGAAACAAAAAACAAAAAAAACTCCACCTGACCCGAGCCCCAAGCCCCCTCAACGCTCCACCCGGCAAGGGGTTGGACTCTGACTAAGTCCCCTCTGACCTCTTGCACCCCTACCTCCACCGGCAGATCCCCTCCACCCCTCCTGCCACAATGGTCCCTCTTTGTCCTGACAATACAAATGGACTAGGGTTTCAGCTTATTCTGCTGCTTTTCAAAAGAGAAAAAGAAAGGAAGACATCAGCATCGGATTGGTGGCTCAGGTCACTCACTACAATGACATTCCCCTTAAATATTGTCAGGGGAAAACTAATCCTTCAGCTGTCCCTTAAACCCCTGACACATGAGGGACATCCTCCTCTTAAATAAGACAGATGTGACAACTTCAAACCTTCTGTAAATTGCATTTAAGAAATGGGAAAACAAGTTGTCTATAAACCCATTAGTTAACATTCCTTGATGATGACATGTGAAAACGTTCACAAGACACCAAAACACGGGAGAGGTGAGCGTGTTTGTACCAGAGGAATGCAGCAAAGTGACAGTTTGTGAGTTCCTCCGCATCTCCTTCTAAACACAGGAAATCCTTGTTCAGGAAAACATGCTCTGGGAGAATGCACGCTTTGTGTGAAAATGTGAAGATCATATTAAGCTGGCCTGTGTAAACAGAGACGGCAGTGAGGATAGGTAATTGGATTGGTTTATATTTAGAGAGAGAGGGAGACATCACAATGGCCTGACAGAGAAGGAAGGACACTCGAGTCAAGCAGACACACTGCTGGGAAGCTTTAAGACATAGAGATCATGGATCAGTAAGTGTGTTATAATGCATACAGTGGATCTACATTTAGTCTCACGTATAGCTCTACTGTATAATCTGCTTTCTAAATAAGCCCACACATACCTCATATATGCCTCATTCAAATATACACTTGTCTCTCTCCAAGTCACAGAACATTTGTGCCATGACTGAGCCTATAATTTATGCCCCGCTCGGTTGGTTTCGCCGTACAAGAGAGCAGATTTTTTTTCTTTTAAACCTCCTCCATTCTTCTTTTTTTCCCTCCTTTTCCTACTCTTTAATTCTTACTCATACATGTTAGCTTTAAATGATGCCACATGAGCATCAAAAAGGTTTCAACTTTACTACACAAATGTCTCAGGTTGGCACACGCCCAGGATGCAGGATGCCGACTTCAGCACGTCTTTAGTCAGTCCAGTATATCTTGGCAGAAGAAGTGAGGTAGTGAGGAAGTAGTGAGTATTTAAGCTTTGGAATCAAAAGCCTTGTAGACGACAGAAGAGAGATGACGGGAAATGCGGGGGAATCAGTTTTTAAAATAGGTTCCCCTGAGGATCCCGCACTGGGGAGGTCACCATTGGTTCTCTCAGTTGAGTTTAGTTTAGTGTGCATTTTAAGAGAATATTAAACATTAGTTTTAACCATGATGCATGCTGGGTGTCTGTGACTATGTGTGTGACTTCACATTAAAACCCTCTTAAAACTGGACTTTTTCAGTACTCACAAGACGCATTGGGTGTAGAGACTGGGTGATGTCACACCAATGAGGGCACAACATTTTCATTATGTTGTATCACAGATAAGGTACAGATATTTTTCATCAATGAGGCAAGAAAATGAACCCATTTTTGTTCTACTGTCCCATTCAACCTTATGTCCAAATCCCCCCGAATCCACCCTATATGTTTTCTGACATGTCGCCTTTTTCTGCAAACTGTAAAGGAAATGTTAAGGAGCTTAACAAAGTTAAAAGTTGACTGGTTAATGCAGAAAACGATTCAAAAACACTCTCAAAAAGCATCTGTGGTCACAAACTAACTGGTCTCTGCATTTCCCGTCTTAATAGGTCCTGTTTGGGAAAGTAGACATGAGGTCCCTCTGTGGTCACATCGGTGTGTTTTTATATCTGTGATTTAGGTCAGGGGCATGTCTAACTGCACTCAGATAAACAGTAAACAACATCCTGGAGTCCAAACTCATGTTTCACTTTGTGGTGATTGAGTTCACAGGGCTCTTGTGACGAGATCAAAATAAATCCATCTGTGGGTTTCTTACGTTCTTATCTAGAAAATGGTTTGATCGAAATCAACACTGACAGCAGCACAGTGTTAACAGTAAACCATCGTCATCCATTTAAACTAATGTGTTTGTGCAACTGCAAAAATGAAAAGTGTCCAGTTGTTTTTCCATGAGGTTTAAAATAGCTTTGTTTACGGAGGACTGGGGTAAACAATATTTATGTGATCTGAAAGAGCAGAAGCAGGCCAGTCCCAGGGGCAAAACACCGTCTGATAAAAACTATCAAGGGAACACATTAGTCAGATGACATGAGAGATGCAGAGTCATCATTTTTCATCGTCATATCTGACCGTTATTCTGCAGATAAAAAAAATACGGGACAGATTTAAGAGGGGGATGGTCATAGTGGTTGTTTAGATTAAGATAGAAAGATTTTTGCAGACCATTTAAGATAGACACACAAACGCATGTGCACACACACACACACACACACACACACACACACACAGTCAACTAAACCTCAGCTGGAAAACAGAAAAATGTACTGAAAGCTTAACAAGATCTTACATTTGAGGAAGATTAAATAAGTATATGCTCTGTTGTAAACACATGGGTGGTCATTTGTGAGACACACACACACACACACACACACACACACACACACACACACACACACACACACACACACACACACACACACACACACACACACACACACACACACACACACACACACACACACACACACACACACACACACACACACACACACACACACACACACACACACACACACACACACACACACACACACACACACACACACACACACACACACACACACACACACACACACACACACACACACACACACCAAACTGTGGAATGTGACACCTTGGTCCTACCTCACTTCGTACCAACCTCACAGTGCCACCCAGGCCAGCCAATAAACAGTTGTTATGAAAACTTCTAACTTAACCCTCTCAAACTCCAGCAAGATATTTGAATGTGTCACAGTTGTGGCAATATATTGATAGCACAGCACTGAAGAGTCATCTATATTCAAATACATCTTACGAGCAACGTTTCAATCAGTCCAATATTTATATTTTACAGTCAGGTAAACCATACCAACTAGGGCTGCAAGTAACACTTGTTTTTTTTTTTTTATTATTGATGATTCTGAATTCAGGAAGATCAAGGTCAAATATTTATACATGTATTCCTATGTATTTTGCCTCGCCTCATACGTATAAGCCATTTGAACAATTCCCCCGTCTGACTCTTCTGAAAGAATAAAGAAATAAAACCTAGAAAGTCACTTTCAACTTGAAGATAACACTGAATAGTTTTCTACTTACAAGTCTGTTAAAGAGCTGGGTCCATATATATAGAGAGTGAACAAGTCATCACTCTCCTGTCCCCCTCACACAGCCACGAGAACTCACATCACCATCAGGACTCACACAGGCTGAGCGTCTGCCCCCTCTGCCCCCTTCTCCAGCAGTCCCAACTATTCCTCCTCTCTCAGACAGACACTGTAGGACTACTGCACACTTCAGGCTCCAGCATTCAGATTGATTACCCTGCTTCACAAATGCACACAGCTACACAAACACAAACACCCAAGTAGCACCCCAACCCCCCCCCCCCCGCAATGCTAGAGTGCACTCACGAATGAACAGAGACATGCACCCATTGCCCCTTAGATGAGATTCTGATGATGTGAACTTCCTGTTTCTTTCTGATGTCTTTATCAGAGAAAATATTTACTCCGACCTCCATGGCAGTGTGGTGCAGCTGTTCCACCAGCAGCCCCTGACCATGTTCACACTCCTTTCTGCTGGGAGAGAACGCCACCTGTCATAGCTGCCTAATGTACCTCAGCCCCCCCGCCGTGTGGACGTCTCACCCCAACACAAAAGCCAGTGTTTTCTCTGAGCACGCGAGCACAGGTGGCTGGAGGAGGCGAGGTCGAGTTACGACAGTGGCACTCACAGGACCTCCGCAAGTCATCATGGAGAGTCATGGAGAGGACGTGATCAGAAATGATCCCAATATTTTCAGGAGTGCTAACGAGAAAACAGCTTGAGACAATCAGAGTCAATACAGGAAAGTGGGACTTTAACTGTGCTGTGATGAGCATCGGTCGTTATGGTCTAATGGGTGATCCCGTTTGCAAACCAGACCAATCAAATCACATCTAATCTGTGCTGTCGTGCAGAAGAACAGGTAAGTCATGGAAATTAGCTCCTATATTAAAACACACTGATGTGAGATTTTACCATCCTTGCACAGACTTGCCTGATTATTACCCATGCACCCATATCCCTGTTTCGACAAGCACTTAAAACATACATCCTTAAGCAGACTTACTATGTCAAAAAGCATTCAATTGGGCTTTCTTGCTTTGTTTTATGTGAGTTATAACTATTCTCTAATTAAGGTAATAGAAAGTATTCCAGTCAAAGATGTTAAGCTTAACACAAGAAAGTTAAATACTTACATTTCTTTATGTTATGTTGTCATGTGACAGTTTATTCAACTAAACAAAAGAGGCGATAAATACTCTAAAGTTCTGTTTAACTACATAAGAACAGCATACACTGGTAGAATTAACATTCAGCTGAAAATGTTAACAGTCATCAAATATCAATTATAAGCTTCATCCTCTGAAACATGGCAACAGTAAGTAAGTCTGCTTTGCTGTTAGGTTAAGTTCAGTGACCTCTGTTT